TGAACTATGAAACATACAGCTTAAGTTTACTTAGATGATGAACAAGTTGACGATGGTATAACAAAATACTTTGGATTTTTTCCTAATAAATAATATTTTCTCAATATGGAAATAAATATGTTGGATGTAAAAAAAAAACGTGAATATATACTTAATCAGATGTCTTAATAACTCTCTATGTGTACAGTGTTGAATATAATATCAAAGGTACTTTTACATTGGAAAACAGTTCGAATCTATTGTGAAGTAAACTTTGATTCTTTTTTATAAATTAAAACAAATTAAGAAAGATAATATTGGAAGAATACAATAGATTCTTTGTTCTCTTGTATATATGTAAGTGAAGTTAGTCAATAAGCTACTATGTAGGACAAAGCACATATACATATAGGTCTATGTTTCCATACCTCATTAGCACAACAAGACAAACACCGGATTCATAGAAGTAGTTAATACAATGGTGGTAATACATAAAAGAAAGATTGTATATAAGGATATAGTGCAGGAAGAAATAATTAGTTCGTAGAAAGAAAGATATGAGGTGATTTCAATCTCACGGTTTAAGGGAAAATAAAGGGTGTATACAACGACGCCATTGTAATCGTTTCCAAGCCATGTCACCCAGAGTTTCCAACCATTAGTTACGATAGTCGAATTGACCCCAACCAAGTAGTCTACATCTACCAACATAGCTAACATTAGAAGTTAGTGCCTTCATCAAGCACTGATGCCACACTTTGGTTTGGCCTCCCCTAATTTTCTTCCAACCATCCACAACATTGGTTAGCATTGCATGTCGTGATAATCGGTGTTCAGGCATATGTAACACGTGACCCAACCATTTCAGTCTATGAAGATTCACAACTTCATTAACTGATCTACCATCATTTTCCAATACCCTGCGTCTAACCTCACTATTACTTACCAGGTGATCGCAGAAGATGAGAGCAATATTTCTAAGACATCTGTGGTCAAATACTAGTAGGTTACGAGTATCTTCTACTCTTAATGATCACATTTCGCAGCCACGAAGTAAAACAGAAAAAAACTGCCAAGCAGTACACTCGTCCTTTAAACAATAGACGGATATCTGACCTTCGCCACAGGTCATGTAACTTGGCAAAAGTCAGACGAACTTTTTGAGTTCGTACAGAGATTTCGTTAGACAATAAACCATTTGGAGTGATCAGACTTCCAAGGTAAGTGAAGCTGTCGACGCTTTCAAAACGCATCTCAAACATCCCGGCATTGTTGCTCGTTGCTACCAAAAGACTCTGAATTTTATCAGCATCTTTACCAAACAGGACTATTTCATCTGCATATTCAAGGTCAATAAATAGACCTCCTGGTAGGAGACCAAATCCTGAAAATCCAGACGACGAGAATGTTATTTTCAGAAGTAGGTCTTTGATGAAGTTGAACAAAAATGGATATAGTGGACAGCCTTGATGAACACCACTTGCAAAATCAGATGATAGTTCGCCATAAGCTCTCACTCGGTTTGTAGTGTTCAAGTAAAGAACCTTAACAAGGTTTGTGTACTTCTGAGGTACACCTTTAAATGACAGACACTGTTATAGGACCTCTCGGTCTACAGAGCCAAATTCTGCATTTAAGTCAAGAAAGGTCATTCCTGTCGGACGCCGATAAGCATGTCCGTGTTCTAGAATCTGACGAATGGTGAATATGTGGTCGATGCAGCCACGATCAGGTCTGAAGGCAGCCTGATTCTCTCGTGTTTGCAGTTCACGAGTCTTAGTTAGGCGCCCGATAATTATTGGGGCTGGTATTTTAGATGCTATATTGGTCAAACTAATCTCTCTATGGTTATCACAAAATGATTTTGACCCATTCTTACCTATTGCGAAAATTAGGTATTGCTACCATTCAGATGGGATTACGTCCAACTCAGAAATTTTAGCTAAAATATAAGTTAACCTAATCTCTAAAACTAGACTATCATCCTTAAAACCTTCTGGAGCCAATCCATCTGAACCAGATATTCTTTCTCGTTTCAGATTAACTACCTCGACCGTTTTTGCTACATTGATGTGGTGGTCCGGCTTCCCTATCGTGATGAACCAATCAACCTTTACTGGCTGGAACAATCGTTCCTCACGGTCCTACCATACCAGACAGGTCGGTTGAAGAGCGGTAAGACTAAAAGCAATAAACCCAAGGTCCGAAGGTGAAGTCGTACTGTTGACTGTACAGAAGTGTGACAGCATTATGTTGTTTCCTTCAGACAACCAGCATGACAGCGATGATGTCTTCTCACAAGGAGGGGTGAGGTTAGAGAACGTCGACCATAAAAATGCACACCTCGTCTTATCCCACGGATGTCCGTCTCCAGCGGTAAGGTCTCAACAAGTACGGAGCTAACACAAAAATTACCCATAAAAAGGTTGTGTGTGACCAACCTCAAGCAGTTGTCTCTTGGGCACTGCGGTCACACTCTCAGGTCATTAAGACCACCTCTAATCCAATTTCCTTTTCAGGCACCTCCAGAAGAACCCTTCCACGGTATGGGCAACCGGGAAGTGATAACCATCCTCATACCTCTAACAGCACTCAAGATTAACTATAGATTTTTGAACTTCCAATAGAGTCGGGGGACCTACTTCAATGTTCCATTCAGAATGGTAGAAAGTAATGAAAATCGAATGAATTAATGATCACATTCAGTCAATGTTATCTTTTTATGTTGTTATTTGATTTGACCGTTAAATGGAGAGTAATATTGATTTCTCTGTTGAAATCATCATACCACTGGGCTATCCTGTTCTATACATAGTTTTGTTGTTGTAATAATAAAGGAGCAGTTTAATAAGAAATTCTGATTTAGAACTTTCTTTTAATAATGACAACAAGTGTAATTGATGCCTTTTAATATTATTATTAGTATTATTATCGGAACGGGTTTTGTGGAGATTGTAGTAATCTGAATAGTTAAGGTCGTGAGTCAGTTGAAATTCGATCACCACAGAGAACATGGAAGCACTGAACGGCCGTTTAGTCCTATTATAGGACTCCTCAGAAGTGTTCATCAACGACCCCGTCTTGCTGGATTCGAACCCAGAACTTACCAATCTTGTGCGCGAGCACCTAACCACTAGACCACTGAGCTGGTCGGTATCCGACAGTATTAATGTCTAACTTTAACTAATCCACGAAATTGAGCGACACATCCACCACTGTCATCAGTGAGTTAGTATCTCACAACAGACCTGGTTGAACTTCGTTGATCACTGCTTCTTATTATTATGTTCTTAACATCACTTCAAGCAGAAAACAGTAACATCAAAATCATTCACATTGATATGTGAACGAAGGAAATAATGATTAGTTGTTCACTTGGCCAGACTAAATAGTTTCGGTATTTGAAGTGGTAATATACTGACGTTCTAGTCAGGTTAGTCATATGTTCTTAATATGAGTTATATTGAAGTTCTATAGAATAGACACTGCAAGTGTATTGAGTTTAGATATTTGTCTCAGGTAAATTAACGGTCTATTCGTGTAAACAAAGAAAATCGTCCTTTATAACACACTTTTAATTTTTCTTGGAAATAATCAGATTGTCTAGAATGGATTCCATTGAAAACTGGATGTATCGTCAAATTTAATGTAGCATATAATATTCTCATTTTATTTCCATTATTCTAATGAATAAATAATTCCAAGTTGATAGTCTTAATATTTTTTGGTTAGAGGTATTCAACAAGAAGTCCTAGATCTAGGTTTCGTGCTATTTGGCACTCATCAGCAAAGTGTACTTATAATCTTGAGGGAACGGATGCTCCCTGACGGATTTGATCCCTTACCACCCAGCTTCACAGTTAGAGACGTTACCACTGGGATATCCGAGCCACGATTGACCTTCTGCAAAACTAAAATATATTCACAATGGATTAATCACTGAGTGGTGATCAATGTCATATGTGTCCAGTTCTTCTCAGTGCAGATCGAATCCTATTGACCAAGTTTGAAAATGTTCAATAAATGAGTTTCTGTTCAACTTATTTTAATGCATTGAATAAATAAATTTAAATGATAAATATATATGTTTATATATATATATCGGTTGGTACTCACCGTAATCTACGTTTGTAACCATAATTGCTAAAGTGATTTGAGAGAGATTGTGGAGTTTGAAAAGAATAGACAAATGGTGACCAATATAAAGAGTAATAAAAAAAACACAATTATTCTTTTCAATGGAATGAAGAATCGATCTAAGTTTGACAAACTTTGAAAATCTGGAAGTACTTAGGAACCATTTCATTGTAGTATAAGACACTTCAGCGGTATTTATTTATTGACCTCATAACTGGAGATGGAATTTATGCCCCCCTCGGTCTCACTTGTTAATACTTAACTTCTAGACCACAGAGATGGTAACTAATATTGTGAATGTCTAAGTTCAGTCCACAAAAATATATTTGTTGAGGCATTTTAGAGTTTATGTCTATGATGTAATTAGATTTTTATTGAAAGGCGAATGGTATGTTAAGAGTTGCCTTGTAGTAAAACCTAGAAGGTAAGTGTATTTAAGTCCCTAAACCTACAGGTAAGATATTAATCATTCATTCACCACATTCTTATCTTGAAATGTCAGAGCGTTATCTACTAGGTAAGTTCTCTTGTTTGGAAAATACTAATAACCAGTGACGCTTGTCTTTATCAATTGTTTAGTGTATCACACTTGATTTCTACTATGAATAGTAATAAGTTTTATTAGGAAGGTAATCCATATTTCGAACTCTACCACTCTACACTAATAAACAATATTCGTATGTAGTAAAAGACATTTATCAACAAAGGATGACGGAAAATAAGAATATTTACAGATTTCAACATGAATGTGACAGCTAATACACCTAGTTAAATCATAACATGCAAGATCAAAAGTTATGGGTTGATTTCTCACATGCAAAGCTGTGGATGCACACGAATATGAAACGATCGTCCAGTGCTTCTATATTTTCAATGGTGATCAAGATAAAATCAGTGAGTGAATTGAAGTCGGAAATTCCTTCAGCGTTTACAAATCTCCCTATTACTAAACTACACACGTGAGCCTGTTACACCTCATGGAGGAGCATAAGCCACACACCAGTATTCTCCATCCAACAATGTCCTGGTCAATCCTTTCCAGCTCCTTCCAGTTGTTATTCATCCTTTTCATATCTGTTTCTGTTGCCCGACATAATGTGTTCTTTGTACTTTCTCTTTTCTGCTTACCTTCAGGATTCCAATTTAGCGCTTGACTCGTGATGCAGTTTGGTGATTTCCTCAATGTATATCCTATCCACTTCCATCGTCTTTTCCTAATTTTCTGTTCAGCTGAAAGTTGATTTTCCCTCTCTCACAGTAAAGTGTTTCCGATGGTATCCGGCCAATGGATATTGAGTATCTTGTGTAGATAGCTTTTTATGAATATTCGTACCATTTTGATGATAGTTGTAGTAGTTCTCTTAGTTTCAGACCTGTACAGTAGAACTGTCTTGACGTTTGTATTGAAGATTGTGACTTTAATATTGGTTCACAATTATTTTGAGTTTCATATGTTCTTCAATTGTAGGAATACGGATCTTGCTTTGCCAATCCTCGCCTTTAAGTCTGCAGATTTCCCTAAACTGAATGTTTTAAATTTGGCTTGCCAAATTGATATTTAAAATTATAACTTGGTAGCTAGATGTCTGTTATGTTCATTATTGATTTACAGATATTGATATTTAGTAACAAAATTCAAATGAAATCATATTTCATTGTTAGATTTATTTGACATTTTTTTGTTTGAATAGTTGAAATTATGAGTTAGTTGAAGCTAGACCACCATGGAAAGCCTGGAAACACTGGACGACCGTTTCTTCCGAGTACAGAACTTCTTAGCGGTGCGCATCCACGATCCTATCCGGCGAGATTCGAACGCAGGACCTATCGGTTTCGCGCGCGAACACTTAACCTCTAGACTGGCATCCAACGATCTTAATGTCTAACTTCAACCAATCCACGAAATTTACCGACACATCCACCATTGTCTTCAGTGAGTTACTGTCTCATTATTATATTTAGTAACAAATATATACGCAAAGGTGCTCAATAACGACCAACTTTGAAAGGTAATTCAAAGAGCTCTAGTGGAGAACTGTCATCAATGGGGCTTAGCCTTGTTATATATTAGATAAATGGCAATTAATAATGATCAAGGACTACCACAAATTTACCAGAGTTAAAAATGTAAACTAATAGTTAACAACTCAGTAGTTTAAAGTTTAGACTATCAGAGTGAAGTCTGATTGTCTTGGCTTCGAATCCTAGTGATAATGTAGACGTATCATACTAAGGGGTCGTATGATAAAAAAATAGTTGTCCAGTGCTTTACAGTCTTAAGTAGTTTTCTAATTAAAATCAATATCACATTTGGGTTTTGTACTGAACATTTACACAGACTGTCTAACCGATCAACCGGAACTCATCGGTTTATACTTACTTACTTACGCCTTTTGTTCATTTTTCTCATGTCTGTCTCCATTCCTCGACGTAATGTGTTCTTTGATCTTCCTCTTTTCTTTGGCTTTGAGGATTTAATGTAAGGGATTGCCTTGCGACGCAGTTGGGTGCTCAATGTGTGTCCTATCCACTTCCAGAGCTTCTTCCTGATTTCTTCCTCCAGTGGAATCTGGTTTGTTCTCTCCCATAGTTGGTTGTTGCTGATAATGTTAGGCCAACGAATCCGAAGTATTTTGCGTAGACAACTATTAATAAACACTTGTATCTTCTGAATGATGACTTTAGTAGTTCTTCAGGTTTCCGCTCTATATAGTGGAATTGTCTTGATATCTGAATCAGATTCACCATGTCCATCAATGATGCTGCCCTTCTTGTATGATAATTTTAACTTGACTAATAACACATTTTCTCGGTCATTAAGACATAATCAACATAAAATTCAACAATTCCAATTTATAACACACTGGTTCATTTTACGTGAATGTTTATATTTCTTAATAAGCAGATATGATGGTGGATAGAAGTAGAATACAGTATGAGCGTTCCATTCTGTTTTGGAATTCGTCAAACGGATGTACTTACATCTCAGAATTGATGTTCATTCTGAGACTCGAATCTATTACCGTCTACTTTAGACATCATCGCAAAATCCACTTAGTTACTAAGTCCAGATTCATTATTTGAATTAGTTGTTTGAATTATCCCGTTGATACTGTTGAATTCAATATTTCATCTTGTGTAATAGACAGATTATGGGATTATAATCGTACAGTTTGAATAAGCGCTAATTTAAATTTTTATTAAATTTATATTTTTAAGTATATAGAATTGGATGGAACTAGAAAAGAAGGCCCAGGACAGAGTGGATTAAAGAATGCTGGTCTGCGGCCTATGCTCCATTAGGAATAACAGGCGTAAATAAGTAAGTAAGTAAGTACTTAAATTGTAAAATGAATTATAAGTAGTATGAAAAGAATCTTTTAGAAAAATAGAAGAAAAACAACAAAAAAATATTTAACACTTACCAGGTGGTGGTGTTTTCTTTTTCTCACAGCAACATAAATTTCTTGCACGTTCACAAAATGATGGATGCATTTCTAAGTTAGATACACTGAAATGAAATTTGTTTTTAAAAAAAATATTTATTCATCATTAACTGAATAGATGAGTTGCTTTTTTTTTCAAAGTATGAATCAGTTGAAGCTAGATCATCCTGAAATATCTAGAAGTACTGGACAGTCGTTTCGTCCTAGTATGGGATTCCTCAATAGTGCGTAACCATAATTCCGCCTCACGAGTTTTGAACTTATGACCTTAGGTCTCATGTGAGAACATTTAACCTCTAGACTACTGAGATGGCTGGCATCCGATTGTGTTAATGTTTAAGTTAATTTAATTCACGAAATTGAGCGACACATTCACCATTGTCTTCAGTAAGTTGCTACTTTACAACATACAGCGTATGCTTACAAGTGACTGGCTTGGAGAGCTATTTCTTGGAGTTCTAGTGAAAGCAGTGGAGTTCAACCAGGTCTGTTGTGAGATAGTAACTTACTAGAGACAATGGTAGACAGTGGCGAAATTTCATGGAATGATTGAAGTTAGACATTAACACTGTTGGATGCTGGCCAGAGGTTAAGCCTTCACGCACGAGACCGATAGGTTCTGGGTTCAAATTCCAAGAGCAGAATCGTAAATGTGCACTGCTGAGGAGTCCCATACTAGGAAGAACGGCCATTCAGTGCTTTCAGGTTTTCAATGATGGTCTAATATTGATCCATTCATGATCTCAATCAGAAACTCAACAATCTTCACAACCCCATACTGATATTTATAAACACAGTTAGTATGCAAAAATATCACTTTTTTTTTATTAGTCAGTCAGTAACAACGTAGAACTTCGTACGTACGTACACCAGTTCGAATTGCTATACCATAGTAGCACACAGATACAATTGTTCATTAAAATCCCATAGTGGTAGAGGTAGTTAAAGTATAAGCAGTGATCGGAAAGATTAGAGTTTGAAGATGTTGGAAAGAGAAAAGAGGGATATGAAGAATTCAGAAGATTAGAATTTGGGTGAACACAAAGAGTGAATGCACCTGAATCATTCCAAATGATTTTGAGCCATGTCATTCAAGGTCTTTAACCATCGGTTGCTATCATCTCGCGGATCACAACCAGTTGGTCCACATCTATCAACATGGCCCAGTCCACTTGTCAATGACTTCATGGATTTGTGCTATGTTTTGATTTGGCCGCCCCTGACTTTATCAAATAACCTCTGGTCATGAAATATAACTTTAAAGATGATATTTCAATCATAAACACATTAACAATTACACATATTCTACTTACTCATTTAATAATCCTTTATTTCTAACTTCTTCAATTTCTTGATCAACTTGATCTAAAAATTTTTGTAAATCATCTGATTCATTATCATCGGATCGTTTCTTTCCTAATGGAGCGGAAAGATTTTCTGGAAAAGCATCAGGATGCATAAATACAGATCGATAACTAACATCTAAATTATAATCTAAAATTTTTGATGTTTGAAAATCTTCATCATCATCACCGAATGGATTCATAACACATAAAGCCACCTGAATAATGTAGAAAAAAGAAATCATCAGGAATCCTTAAAAATCAACATTCAAGACCTTTAAGAAAGACTATAAATATATATATATATATATATATATATATATATATATATATTCGGTGGAGCTTCGTATAGAATTCTTCAGTCGATGGTTGATCTGGAAGTACTTCAGCTAACTGTATTTATATATTACTTACTTATTTACGCCTGTTACTCCTCGTGGAGGAGCATAGGCAGCACACCAGCACTCCCCATCCAAATCTGTCCTGGCCAATCCTTTCCAGCTCCTTCCAGTTGTTATTCATCCTTTTCATATCTGGTTCAATTTCTCCACGTAATGTGTTCTTTGGTCTTTCTAGTTTTTTTGCATCCCTTCAGGATCGCAAGTTAGCACTTGACTCGTGATGCAGTTTGGTGATTTCATCAATGTATATCCTATCCATTTCCATCGCATTTCCTAATTTCTTCTTCAGTTGAAATCTGGTTTGTCTTCTCCCACAGTAGGATGTTGTTGATGGTACCCGGCCAATGGATATTGAGTATCTTGCGTAGACAGCTATTTATGAATATTCGTACCATTTTGATGATGGTTGCAGAAGTTCTCGAAGTTTCAGCTCCTATATATATGTTAGTTTACTTGATTTTGTGGAGCATGTTATATCACCGCTACAAAGTATGTTCTTTCCAAACAAATTTTTCGGTATTCTCGTAGATAATTTTCAAAAAATGGCGTCAAATTAAATCAGAAGAATAACGAGACAGAAACTTGTGCATCATAGACTTGGTTTGCATATTCAGTAGTGACTTGCACAATTCCTTTTCCTAGTATGGTTCTAATTCGCTTTAATTATGCTATCACTAATATTAGTAGTAATTATTAACACGTAATCCATAATTAATAGACTAGTGGCAGTTGTAAATAGTTCATCTTATATTTCTCATTGATACCATGAATCGATTGATGTTAGGCCACGATTCAAAACCTGGAAGTACTGGACGGCTGTTTCGTTCTATTGTGAGACTATTCAGCAATGCGCATCCATTATCGTGACGTTTACGACTGAAATCGGTCAGTTTCTTTCGGCAGATGTGCATCCTCTAAGGTTTGTATCAATGTTGACACTAAGTCAGAAGAATGCTTAAGTAGAAATGGATGGTGATTAGTAGTGAAATTCAAGATCCTCATTTTATTCTATTTGAGATCATATTATACAAGTGAGCATCTATAATCCTTGCTAAGATATGAATCCATGTCACATACAATTAGAAAATATATATCAGTTTCGTATATCATCAGCATTTGAATTGACTACGGTATTACTCGCCATATCATAGTATTAACATGGTTTTTAATGTAATGAAATAAGAAACGGAAGTTTTGTGCTTGTTTACAAGAATTAAGAAGCTCACTCATACTATTTTGAATCATTGAACGTATTCTACCTCATAAATTAGGCATATACTTCAACAATAAATCATTTTTAAAGAAATTGTAATTTTATAGGACCGAAGTTTACTAGTTAGCGTACACTTCACTGGTTCACTTCAAAGATTCCTAATAAATGACATTGAATAGATTTAACTTCTCAGCAGTGATTATCCACGTTTCCGTTCCAAAGGGACTCGAACCCAGGACATTCGGTCTCGCACAAAAATGCTGGATCAGAAAACACAGGTGTTAATATCTAAATTCAATCAAGCTACGATATTTCGCGATCATCTTTTGTTGTTTTCAGTGAGTAACTGACTCACAACAGATACGGATGCCGGCTCAGTTGTCTAGTTGGTTAAGTGCCTGACGCGAGACCGATAGGTCCTGGGTTCGAACCCCGCCAGGCGGGGTCGTGGATGCGCACTGCTGAGGAATACCACAATAGGATGAAACGGCCGTTCAGTGTTTCCAGGTTTTCCATGGTGGTCTAGCTCCAATCGACTCATGATCTCAACTGCTGAAATTACCACAGTCTTTACAAACACCTTCTTAGACACGGATGTACTCTACTAGTGACGATTTCTCACTAGAACTCTCAGAAATCCATCTTGAATCTGGTCCCAAGTGAGCACATGATTATTATCAGAATAAAGGCTTGTGGAAATTGCAATAATTTTAATAGTTGAATTCATGAGTCAATCTAAGCTAGATTACCATTGAAAACTTGGAAGCCCTGAACGGCTGTTTCGTCCTAGTATTGGGCTCTTCAGCAATGAACTCAACATTGCATTCTAATCATAGTCATGAATACTTCAATTGATCAAATTAAAGGTTACATATAAATTTAATATAAAAAAATCAATAATTGTTACCTTTAACCAACCCATAAGGAATAGGAAAGAGAATATACTAAAAATCGGGACATATAAATCCACATTATTTTGACCATTTTGATTACGATGTTCAACAAATTGACAAGCAAATATTTGACACATAAAATAACTATAAACTGCTATAATTACAACCTATAAAGAAAATAATCATCAATGTATTATATAATCATATATAAATAAATCAAAGAATAAGTTAAACAATCATTTTAGATTTATAATAGGAACTAGTTGAATATATACAACATAAACTGATCAGTGATTTGACAATATAAAGTTTGATGAATGAAATATACGATCTATGTCGGATAGAGAAGTTGAGATTGATTATGAATACAGTGGTCTTGAGTACTGTGAGAGGTATGAGGGTGGTTATCACTTCTCGGTTGCCCACACCGTCGAAGGGTTCTTCTGAAGATACCTGAGAAGGAAATTGGATTAGAGGTCGTTTTAATGACCCGAGTGCGTGACATCAGTACCCAAAGGACAGCTGTTGGAGGTCGATCACACACAACCTTTATGTGAGTAATTTTCATACTAGCTCCGTACTTGTTGAGACCTTACTTCCGGAGACGGATATCTGTGGGATAAGGCTAGGTGTGTATTTTTATGGTGGACATTTTCTAACCCCAGCCCTCTTTCTGAGAAGGCAGCATCTCCATCATGCTGGTTGTCTGAAAGAATTAACTTACTGCTGTCACACCTATGTGCAGTCAGCAGTACGACTTCACCTTCGGACCTTGGGTTTATTGCTTTTAGTCTTGCCGCTCTTCAACCGACCTGTCTGGTATGGTAAGACCGTGAGGAATGATTGTTCCAGCCAGTAAACGTTGATTGGTTCATCACGATAGGGAAGCCCTACCACCACATCAGGGTAGCAAAAACCGTCTGACGGGTAGAGAAGATGATTGCATAATATCGTGGACTGATTGAAGTTAGACATTAACACTATCGGATGCCGGCCAGCTCAGTAGTCTAGAGATTAAGCGTGCACGTGTGAGATCAAGGGCTCTGGATTTGAATCCCAAGCGGTGGAATCGTGGATACACACTGATAAGGAGTCTCGTACTAGGATGAAAAGGCTATCCAGTACTTTCAGGTTTTCAATGATAGTCTAACATCAATCGGTTCATGGTCTTAATCAGAAACATACAAATATACTTGGTGAATAATTCAAAGATGTATTTGTGTTTGTCGATTTGTTAAGCTTTTATATACTGTATTTATGTAAAATGGATCCAAATTAGACTGATTATTGAGTAGAATGACTGAGACATTTTCGAAATGGAAAATCAATTCATTCATGATGTTGTATGGTTCAAAAAATCTAGTCAAAGTACTCATTATGGTTTTTCTATTAACATTATTGAAAACAGTGATTGATCAATCGAAGTCACAAACAAATGGGAAGTTTCGAACAACCAAGAATCATCCTATTGCACAAAGTATTAGTTCTGTGAATAATGTAATAACATTTGAAACGAACGGTATTGGGTTGAAGTCCCGGAATGAATGTGATGCGGTTACATCCAGCTGACCTGTTCCGAATAGAACAAAATGTACTTTCATAAACCATCTCTGCTCAATGGCGTCCTATACAAATGTAGACTAACTATGGTATATAAGTGTCAATATTCTTTATAATACGGCGAGACTATAATTCATGGACGAGCTTTTAACGAATCTTAAAAGACCTTGAGGCAAATTAGCTAATCAGAAAACTTGTAGTTTAGAGTAAAAATGTATTATATAAAACCAAAGAATTAGAGTGGATACACTTCTTTTGCATGATTTAAACACTTTATAAGGTTAGAAAGAGGTTCAGAGGTTCTGAAATCATAATGCATACGATAGAGGAACTCATCCATATGGTTCTATAGTAGTCGATCTCTGGAGATATAATAAAGTCACAAAAACTCTTTCAGCCTAGAACTTATAGCTTCAATATTGCTTTTGTGCACTACAGTCGCTGGGTCCACAAAATGCTACTTGTGGAAAAAGACACGATGCACATAACCAAGTCTATGTAGGCATCGGTACGCTCTACAATCATAAGTTTATATTGTAGTACGCGGCTGCACATATTCCCGTTTACTTGACCTGTCGTATGTTCCAAGGACCTTTGAGGTATATTTATGGAAGTGCTACTTACCCAGTTTTCTCTAACATTACATCCTTTGTTGAATTTTCGTTTTCTGGCAATTGTTTCGTTTATTTCAACGGTCCTCATGACTCCTCCAAACGACTCGTGTAAGCTTGTCATTCTCACTGAGCATATATCTCTACAATACTCATACCACTGAGCAGTCGAAGCTTCATTAACATCTTCAAATGTTGCAGCCGATTCTCAGCAATGGTCATAATTTGTCTTAGTCTCAATCTGGATCGAGCGAAGAAAATTCTTATCCTAGCAGAATTCTTCTTCTAACATATATTACATCAAAAAAGCATCATCACAGTAGTCTGCAAAAGGTTCACAAATCATTTGATTTACATAATCAAAAATCAAGGAACTTCTTAATAGTCTCATTTGTTGTGAACCATTTGCTGTGAACCGATCGTACATGAGCATCTAGTACTGAAATTGTCGCTGTGACCTTGAAATCTCTCAAACGCTTCTGATTGGCTCGTCCATAAATTATAAGAATTACATAACAATTATGTCTTGTAGTTTGCAACATGAATTTATTTTAGACAACTATTGAAAACCCTAGATTACTGGATCATTGTATCTTTGTAGTATGAAACTCTTCCATTGTGTACATCTGTGATCCCGTCGAAAATTGAGTCCACAACTTTCAAGTCTCACATCTGGAGCTTGAACGTTTTAGACCATTGAGTTTGTACATATACTTAGAATAATTTAACAAGCCTTATGAAACATTCACTTTTAATTCACATAATAAAAAAACAAGTTTGTTTTCTTGTTCTATCTGTCAGTCACATTCTAATATGATACTGCTGATCTTTGTCAAATTATTGTATAACTAGAAATTGAATTAAAACGTTTGTCAATGTTTCACTTACTTGAGTATACACTAATGGAATCATAATACTACTGTAAACTTGTAAATTCTGCATACTTTGTCTAACTCTACCAATATTCTATAAAAATAAGAAAGAAGATAACGATTGATCAATTTTACAAATGAATACTATGAATTGTTACTTACTTATATAACTAATAAAAGACAAGTGATCATGCTAACTATGAACTTACTTACTTCCTCGTGAAGAATCAAAGGCCGCTCACCAGCACTCTTCATTCAACACTGTCCTGGATAATCCTTTTCAGCTCCTACCAGTTGTTATTCATCCTTTACATATCTGCTACGATTTCCAAGTTAGCGCTTGTTTCGTGATGCAGTTTGGTGATTTCCGTAATGTATATCCTATCCGTTTCCATCGCCTTCCCCTAATTTCTTCTTCAGCTGGAAGCTGATTTGTTCTCTCCCACAGGAGGCTGTTGCTGATGGTATCCGGCCAATGGATATTGAATATCTTGCGTAGACAACTATTCATAAATACTTGTACCTTCTTGATGGTGGTTGTTGTAGTTCTCCAAGTTTCATCTCTGTACAGTAGAACTGTCTTGATTTTTGTATTGAAGATTGTGACTTTGATATTGGTTGACAATGATTTTGAGTTCCATACATTCTTCAGTTTTGAGAATGCTGTCCTTGCTTTGCCAATCCTTGCCTTTACGTCTGCATCTGTACCTTCTTGTTCATCGATGATTCTACATCTTTCAGAGTTTTGCCTTCAAGTGTGACTGGATTGCTGTTCTTCGTTTTGAATTTGAGGATCTTGGTTTTCCCCTTGTATATATTGAGGCCTACTGATGGAGAGGATTCTGATACACTGGCTGTCTTCATCTACCATTGTTCGTGTGTATGCGATAGGAGGGCTAGGTCATCTGAGAAGTCCAAGTCGACCAATTGGTTCTTAGCTGTCCATTGTATGCCGTGTTTTCCCTCAGGTGTCGAGGTCTATGAAATTTGACATTAATTACTAAGAATATGACCTAAGATTATTGTTTGTTTTATGGATTATGAATTGCTGTTCGAATGTTGAGTGTGTCGACCGTTTCACTTATCTTGAGAGTCTCATCAATCCTTGTAGTCTGGTGTGTGATGAAATCTCAGCAGGGATACAGAAGGCTCGACTAGCTTTTGCGAACTTGCGTCATTTATGGCGTAGGCAAGGTATCCGTCTACCAACCAAAGGACAGGTTTACTGCACAGCAGTCTTACTTTATGACTGTGAAACATGATCGGTAATAGTAGAGGATATTCGTAGATTACTAGTATTCGATCATAGATGTCTTCGAAGCATTGCTCGTATATCATGAGACCAACAAGCAAGTTGTTAGGAAACGGGTACTACGTAAGGATGGCAAATCAATTGATGGAGAAATGAAACTTCATCAGTTGAGATGGCTGGGACACGTGTTACGTATGCCCAACCACCGATGTGAGATGTTTTATGGTGTAGGAGTAGGATGTAAGAAAACTAGAGGTGGCCAGACCAAAACATGGCACAATTTCATGAAGTCGCTTACAAGTGGACTGAGCCATGTTGGTAGGTGTAGACTATCTGATTGGGATCCGCGAGACGATAGAAAACGATGGTTAGAGACCTTGAATGACATGGCTCAAAATCGTTTGTAATGGCGCAGGTGAATCCACTCATTCTGTCCTCCCAAATTCTAACATTCTGAATTCTTCATGTCACTTTTTTTCTCTTTCTAAATTTATTTCACTGGATTATACTCCTTGAATAACTCTGTTCTTAAATTATACTCAGTTTGTTAACTGGCATCTACCACGTTCACAGACACTTTTTGGCTTGATCTTATATAAATATTATTTGTTACTTTATGGTGTGATGTGGTCTGTTTGGCGGGTATATTAATCAAGTATGTTTGAAATATATGATTCATATCTGAGAGTCTGAGATAGGTGTTCTAGACTTAACTTGCAGGACTAAGAGGAAAAGGACCAAAAAAGACGCTAGGCAATTCATACCTCTCGATACGTGATTGGTTTAGCACAGTAATAAGATTAAATAAGTTATACTTTGATTGGCAAATAAGTCACATGATATTTAGCCAGGCTTAAAGTCACAACAATCTTCAGGTTGCTATTTCAAATTATTTTAGAATTATTTAATAATTTAATAGTTGAATTGATGAGTCAATTGAAGCTAGACCATCATCGAAAACCTGGAAGCACTGGATGGTCGTTTTGTTCTAGTAAATTTGAGATTGATTTACGCCTGTTACTCCTCGTGAAGGAGCATAGGCCGCCCACCAGCATTCTCCATCTAAACCTGTCCTGGGCAATCCTTTCTAGCTCCGTCCAGTTGTAATTCATCGTTTTCATATCTTCTTCTATTATCCGACGCAATGTGTTCTTTGGCCTTCCTCTTTTTCGCTTCCCTTCAAGATTCCAAGTTAGCGCTTGCCTCGTGATGCAGTTTGACGATTTGCATAATGTATGTTCTATCCATTTCCATCATCTTTTCCTAATTTCTTCTTCAGCTGGAAGCTGATTTGTTCTCTCCCACAGGAGGCTGTTGCTGATGGTATCCGGCCAATGGATGTTGAGTATCTTGCGTAGACAGCTATTTATAAATACTTGTACTTTCTTGATTGTGGTTGTTGTAGTTCTCCAAGTTTCATCTCTGTACAGTAGAACTGCCTTGAAGTTGGCATTGAAGATTCTCACTTTGATATTGGTTGAAAATTGTTGTGAGTTCTATATGTTCTTTAACTGTAGGAATGCTGTCCTTGCTTTGCCAATCCTTGCCTTTACGTCTGCATCTGAACCTCCTTGTTCATCGATGATGCTTCCTTGTTACAGTAAAGTATTGTTGAAAATACTCACAATAGAAAAAACAGCCATCCAGTACTTCTAGGTTTTATCATGGTGGTCTATCTTACATAGACTAATGAATTCGACCATTAAATTAACAGTTATCTATAAAGATTTTATATAGAATCAAATAATGAACATACTTCAACAGTATAAAATGCTACTTTAGGATCATCAATATAACCACTTTGTAATGCTTTTAATGTTAATCTTTGTGCCCATTGTATAGGTACCCAATATTCTGGTGTATAATTAGTTTTTGTACGTCGAAACCAATCAGCTGCTATACGTTCAAATGATGAAATTTCTTTTTCAGTAATTAATACACCAAATGAACTTTTCACTTCTATTAAAATAATAATAAAAAAAGGAGAGATCAATTGAAGAACAGTATAGAATATTCATCCTGTGCAGATTGCCTCGATATACCTTTAAGTCATAAGCTTTCTGAGCAATGATGGTTAGTGGCTAGCAGTGACGCTTGTTTCGTCCTAATTGGGACTCATCAGCTAGATGTACTTGCATCCCAGAGATGATGTTTACTCCGGAACTAAAACCCATAACCATTCGCTTCAAACTCTATTGTGTTATCTACTTAGCTACTTGGTCCTTATAGCCACCTGTTTGTGCAATGGGGCGAAGTTTAAGTTCTGTTGGTGTTGTTTTACTTGCATGTTCTCATTGTTATTTAGGACTGCAATTGATTAGTCTCTTGTTGACACATGTGCACCCTGTGCGGTTTGCCTCAATATTAGCCTTAATTTACAAACATGGTAAGTAAAGATGGATAGTGACTAGCAGTGGAATCCAGGACGCACGTTTCGTCCTGCTAGACATCATCTATCATTTCATAAATGATTGATCATTTGATTATTGTGAAAATATTATTGATGGATTATAGTGAAAATAATAGTAACATAGTAACAAAAGATGTCATCAACTATCTGTTAAAGACAGATACATATTTACAGTTGATTATTTACTAAATAGCGATCGAAGTCTTATGCTTTTAGTGTTGATCGAATTCTGTTGATCAAATTTGGTCACTGTTATAAATGACTTGACATATTATGCAGTTTACTGGGTTGTTAAGTTGTTAAACGTGGTCGACAGAAAACTTTGGACCTAGGTTTTGTGTTATTTAGCACTTTCTAGAAAACTAATCCATTCTAGTTGACTCAAACTTTATCATCCACTGGAAAACATCACTCTTCTCAGGAATACAGGTAGGCTTTAGTGGAGAGTGACAAATAGGAAGAAACCAAGGTCCATTGTTTCTTACAATTGATTGATCATTGGGTGGTGATCAACGTCATGGATGCCAGGTACTTCTTAGCGCAGATTGAATCATATTGACCAGGTTGTAATAAGGCCACCAATCTAGGTGACTCAACACTGCATGCACTATGTTGAGATGAGATGGTGGTTGAAGGTAGTCAATATGAAACCCTGGATCTAAGTTTCATGCTACTTGTCAGCAAGGTGTACCTGTTATGCTCCCTGATGAGTTCGACCCTGTGTCACTCAGCTTCACAGTCAGATGTGTTACCACTGATCTATCCGAGCCGCTTCTAACCTCCTGTAGGACTGAGATATATTTACAATTGATTGATCACTTGGTGGTGATCAATATTACGTACGTCAAGTCCTTCTTAGGGCATCTTTGGAATTTTCGACATTTTTTTTATCTGACAGTACCATCTGATATGAACAATATAGAATACCTAACATTCATGTATCACAGTATGTTACCACTGAATCTCTCTATAAGAGTGTATGTTCTATAATAATCATATATTCACTACTGATTTGATTTGATAAGGTTCTCAAAGATCTGATAGAAACTATGATGGACAGAATCAACCAAGTTAGGAATGGAACAATGATTTTTCAATGACACCAGTTCAGTGGTTTACTATAGAATAAATTGAAGAGTTAGAAATATTGACTATTTGATTATCTGTATATAGTCTAAATGTAGCATGCTCATCATGACGACTGACTTTTGTGACCTAAAATACATGTATAGTTCATTGTGGGGTACTATGAATTTACTCTAAATCATTTCTGCCTAGACCTCAATAATTCTCAAGATATTAGCCTTAGCTACAACATCATTATAATTCAGTCAATCTACAAGGAGGCAAGTCACATTGATATTCTAGAAAACTGTATTAGGTTCAGATTGAGTGTAAACTCTTAGGATCTTTTCGGATTTTCAGTGGTTCCATCTTACTTCTTGAAAGTCATCTCATCATTTCAAATATACTGAATACAAATTCAAATTAATCATAGTTATTTACTTACTTTGATCTTGATTAAATGCTCTTAACATTTCTCTTAATTCTACAACATCAGCTGCTTCAAATGCATCCGGTAATACACCACATTCTTCATCTGTAGCTAATGGTGCTAATGGTGTATGAACATCTGATGAATTAGGTGTTTGTGGTTGAACAAATATATTATTTAATGGACTATCTAATTTAGTTTGTATTGGATATTGTGATTGGGATAATTGTTGTTGTAATATTGATTTTGATGGTGATGTACGTACCACTTCACTTGCATCAATTGACCATGGTTGACATGTATTTCTACTTATTAAATGTTTATGATTTGTTGATTTACGTTTAGGTAATACAGGACCTAATGCACTTGGTAAACTACCAATATCATCATTTTTAATAAAACGACATGCAATTTGATCTGAGATACGTTTCATCATTAATACCCAAGCTAAATTCATATAACGCATAATAGTTAAACGAATTTTACGTGCACCTTCTTCATTTTTTGCATTGATACATGACTAGAATAAAAGAAAATATAAAATGATAAGTGTTATGAAATAGTAGTTAGTTATTTAAATCTTCTCATTGATGTTAAGGACTACAATGGATCAGCTTCTTTTTGACCTATCTGTATCTTGTGAGGATTATCTTGATATTGTCATTTGGTTAAAAGCATTATAAGGAGAGATGGATGGACATGTCTAGCTGATAAGTTTCAGATAAGACAAAACATGCATTCTGGATTTCACTGTTAGACACTATCCATCTCTATTTACGAAATGGTTTATTCACAATTGATTGATCACTGGGTGGTGATCAATGTCATGCGTGTCTAGTCCTTATTAGTGCAAATCAAATGCTATCGATCATGCTGCAATGTGGTAACGTCTCTGACTGTGAAGCTGAGTGACACGAGATCGGATCCATCAGGGAACACCAGTTCCCTCAAGATTACAGGTACACCTTACTGACGAGTGCCAAGTAGCACGAAACCCGTGTGCAGGGTTTCCTATTGACTACCTCCAACCACCATCTAAATGGTTTATTGTTAGGAAAGTGAATGCAGTTTGAGTTGATTCAATTTGAAACAAACAGCATTATTGTATTACTATATTTTCAAACACCACCACCACCACGGTCCTTGGTACCTGTGTGGTTTCACCCTAGGATCGAGCTGTACTATTCAGATTTTAGCGTCAAAGCCTATATGATGTCTGATTCTTCTGTGGAGCGGGATTGAGTTAAACTCCACGGGTTATAAAGTTTAAGCCTGGATGGTGTATGGTTCACCTGGAAACTGGATTGAGCCGTACTAATTAGGCTACAAATTTTAAGCTTATATGGTGTCTGGCTCTCCTGTTAAACGAGATTCAGCTGTACTGTTATCACGTGAAAGTTTGGATGGTTCTCCTGAAAACCAATATAAAATTACCCTGGCCCACAAGAGGCATATTATATAACTGACTTATATAGTTTCAGCATATTCTATTAAACTATTCTAATCAGTAGTATTGTTTATTATTCTTAAAATGTAGGGGATAAAAGTTCAAGTTAAGTTTACGCTCAGTAGTCGTTTAAGAAATGATGTTGGCGATAATACATCACAAATATTCTTGGATTCTACTATATGAATTAACTTGTTTAAATGATGACGAAGTGTTAAAATTTGATATAATGAAAATAGCTGTATTGTAATAGAGTGAGTGAACAATCCAATAGTATTGAAAAACCTAAATAATTCCTGAAGTTCTAATGAGAACCAGTGATCAATAGAGTTCAACCGGGTCTGTTGTAAGATAATGACTCACTGAAGACAATAGTTAATGTGTTGCTCAATTTCGTAGATTAGTTGGACTTGAACATTAACACAGTTGCATGCCAGCTAGCTTAGTGAACCAGAAATTAGGAGTTTATTCACGAGACCGATAGATCCTGAGTTCGAATCACGCGAGGCAGGTCGTGGATGCGCACTGCTGAGGAGTTCCACAATAGGACGAAACGGTCGTCCAGTGCTTCCAGGTTTTCCATGGTGCTCTAGTTACGATTGACTCATGATGTCAACTATTAAACAATATTTATTGGAAGAAATTTCGCCTTCCTGTTTGATTCACTTGGAAGGAAATATGAACAATATGTGTGACTGTGAAAATACTACACTCTCCGCAAATCCCCCATACTGATAACAATCACGTGCTGACTAATGACTAACTTCAAGATGTAATCCATGGAGTCCTAGTGAGAAACCGTGACCAATGGAATCTAATCGATATCGAGTAGAAGATATGTATCCACTGCAGACAATAGATCAAGGGTTACTCAAGACCATGGGCTGACTGAAATGAGAGATTAACACCGTTGGATACCGGCCTAGTAGTTTAGAGGTTAGGCGTTCACGCGTAAGACAGCAAGTCCTGGGTTCGAATTTTGCGTTTTCACTGCTGAGTAGACTCATATTAGAGTTAGATGGTTGTCCTGTGCTTTAAGGTTTTCGATGGCAGTCTATCTTAGATTGACTAGTGAGAATAAACATTTTAACTGTTATTTTTTATGTAGCCTATTGAAGATAGGTCATAATTTAATCAATAAAACAAATGAATAAGGTCAGGTCTATTAAGAAAACATAAGAAGCTTGTTGCATTACAAGAAAAGTTCAAATATGTTATCACTGATTTGTTTAGATTTTAATCAACCTCGTGTTCGATTGAAATATTACTTAAATGGTGGTTGGAGGTAGTTGACAGGAAACCCTGCACACGGGTTTCGTGCTACTTGGCACTCGTCAGCAAGGTGTACCTGTAATCTTGAGGGAACTGATGCTCCCTGATGGATCCGAACCCGTGTTACCCAGCTCCACAGTCAGAGACGTTACCACTGAGCTATCCGGGCCGCGACCCACCTCCTGTGGGACCGAGATGTAATCGATCTACACTAAATAAGGACTTGACACATATGACATTGATCACCACCCAATGATCAATCAATTATGAAATATTCCTTATTGATTGATCTTTAATGATGACCAAGGTTATTTCAATCCTATCCGTTAACGTTGATCAAATTCTATTGATGAAATTTCACTTTAACCACTAGTCTAAGTGACTCGATATTATGTACACTATACTGAGATGTTATTTCAGTGGAAATAGTTGGTAAGTAACCTTGATTGTTGCAGCTTGATCAATAGAATTAGGTCAGTAGTTAAGGGATGAACAAGCATAAACTTAGTCAATAGATTATAAATAATTCATTGTAAATATAGAATAACTGGATTACAGTACATTTGTAGATCATCGTACGTCTTGTTAAAGTTGTCAACTGTGTTAGTTGTAGTAGCGTTTGCTAATTGTGTAATTTTATAGTTGAATTCATGAGTCGATTGAAGCTTGACCACTATGGAAAACCTGGAAGCACTGGATGGCCGTTTCGTCCTAGTGTAGCACCCCTCAGTAGTGCGCATCCACGATCCCACCTTGCGAGATTAGAACCCAGGAACTATCAGTCTCCAGCGTGAACGCTCATCCTCTACACCACTGTCCCGGTATCCAACTGTGTTAATGTCTAACTAATCTAAGAAATTGAGCAACACATCCACCATTGTCATCAGTGAGTTACTATCTTACAATGGACCCGATTGAACTCTACTGGTCACTGCTTCTCACTAGAACTCCAAGAAATACCTCTTGAGACCAGTCATTAGTGGTTATACGATTATTATTATCAGAAGGGGTTTTGTAGAGATTTAAGTAATTTTAAAGTTGAATTCATGAGTCATTTGAAGCTAGACCACCATGGAACACCTAGAAGTACTGAACGGTCGTTTCTTTTTATTGTGCGACTTCGCATCAGTGCGCATCCACGATCCATCCTGGCGAGATTATCTTGACTTATTCTAAATTTAATGTTACCGTTCAGTTTACAATCCAAATGTTTCACAGAAACAGTTAGGTTCATCATGAATACAAAAGAATAGTTGATTACAATTGTTATGAATAGTTTTTTATTAAAGAAATTGGCTAGTCTCCTATCAAAATATTTCAATAAAACTAGATTATTTCAACACTTAGAAGTTTCTACCTCCAATTTGTCACTTTTATTCATTAAGTCTTATAGTTACCGTTGGTTATAATTGGTTGAAAAATTGTTGACAATTCAAATGACCTTGACTAGAGTATCGAACGATTACAGGCATAAAATAAGTGCATCAAGTGAAGAATTGTGTAAATATTTTTTGGCAATCAGCTTTTTTTTAATTATCTAATCAGTAGTATCAGTCGCAGTCACCTATTTTTTTCTGCTTGAGATCATGAACCGATTGATTTTGGACCACCGTTGGAAACCTGGAAGTACTGGACGGCTGTTTCGTCTTATTGTGAGACTTCTCCGTTGCATTGAGCATCCATGATCCCGCTAGAAAGATTCGAACCAGGGGCCTTCAGTCTCGCTCGCAAATGCTTAACCTGTCGACCACTGAGCTGGCCGGCATCCAAAGGTGTTTGTGTCTAACATCAACCAATCCACGAAATTACGCGACCATCTTCTATTATACTGAGGTAGATACCTGTCTCTACTCGATATGGATTAGCTCCACTGGTCATGGCTTCTCACTAGAGCTCCGAGAATTCCCTCACGAAGCTAGTCACTAGTGAGCACATGTTAGTTATCAGTATAGGAGTTGTGGTGATTATTAAGTTTTTTTTAGTGAGTTCATGAACCGAGAGAGCAAGATCGTGGACGCGCACTGATGAGAAGTTGCACAAAATGACGAAACGGCTGTCCAGTGTTTCCGGATTTCCAACGGTGGTCTAACATCAATCAGTTCATAATCTCGATTAAAACATCTTAATAATCTTCACAACCTCTATACTGATAACACCTATTTTGTATTAAACTTGTAACAAACTATCATGTTGTCAACTGTCAACATCTTGATGTTATTTTCTGTATGTGTTGTGACATACAGTGTCCAAAATCTGATACTGATACACATTGTGCTACCTGATAACCCTCTCCCCCCCCTAAAACACCATTTGGGCAAGAGTGAACAAGAAAGTGTATTGAGCTATCAGATAAAATGCACAAATACTCATTTATATGTATATCACTCTAATCTTTAAGAATATGAATCATTTGTTATCGTTTAGTTCACTTCTATTTACTATCAATTGACTTTCTTATTATGGATTCTTTCTATCACTATGGAAATGATTTATTTATCATTAAATTATTGAACTTACAGCAATTTGAAGTGCAATTTGATTCATCCATGGTATATATAAATACATTTGATACCAACGTGATATTATACCAGATACAAAAAATCCCAATAAAAATGATATAGGTATATCACCTTTAGTTCGAACACAGAATTCAACAATTTCTTCAAATATTCTATAGAAAAATTCATAATAAATAAGAAAAATGATGATAATATGTTAACTATAGATAAGACTATCATTTATGGATAACTTTTGAGTGATTAAAAAGTGATCTTGATGATGTTCATCTATTTGTTAGAGTTATATTGTGAACAGAGAAACAAGAAGACCTGATTAACTATGAAAGCTATTTATCAGGATGTTACTTCAATTCATTCAAAGCTTGTAAACACATTAACATTTATTTTTGTTTCTAATCTATTCTACAGAAGATAAGCTTTCGTTTGATGTATGATTCATTGTCATATCCTTTTCTGTTCTGAAGCTATTGTCATTTAAACATAATATTTTGCATCTTATTTTCTACGCTGATTTTCAGCTTTGAACATAATTGTATTTTACAAAATTATTGTACGTTGTGGTCGGTTTAGTCATCTATTTGTACATGTAGCTTTTTACAGTAATCTGAAATCAGAAGAGGAATCAGAGAAAATCAGGATATTGGGAATAGATCGAGTAATGTTCTAGTTGTTTTGTCTTCTCTCATTCGCATGCTTGTCAGTCAATCAGGTGATAGAATAGTTTTCTTCTCTCTACCTCACTTCGAACTCATGCGTACTGGCCTGAAGGTTAGGTCGGTTAGCCTATCGCGCCAAGGTGATAATCTGGATTAGATAAGTATCCTCAGCACCAAAAGTGGGTAGACAGACCAAGGGACATAACAGGTATTTGAAGATTATATATTAATGTGATGAAATAGGATCATGATCTACAGTTCGATGTTATGGTTAAGAATTAGAATTAGAGTTCTCATCACGAACTGACATCAGTTAAAATGTCAAAATGATATTCAACTAAATAAGTAAATGGATTTCATACTGAAATTCAAGACCTGAGATCTTAAATCTGATTGTTTTGGTCAAGTATCTCGTCAAGTATATCAAAGGTTCGTTCATCAAAGAGTATTACTGTTAAACTGAAATAGATTCCCTGATCTAATTTAATTTTAAATTGCATTGTAATATGTTCAAAATACGGTCAATTAATAAGACAAACAAGAGATGCTTCTTTTCAAATGAACATAAAATATAAGCAGCAAACCCAAGGTCCGAATGTGAAGTCGCACTGCTGACTGTACAGAGGTGTGACGGCGTTAAGTGTTTTTTTATTCAGAAGACCAGCATAACAGCAATGCTGCCTTCTCACAGGGAGGAGTGGGTTTAGAAAAGATTGACCATAAAAATGCACACCTAGCCTAATCTCACAGAAATCCGTCTCCGGAGGTAGGTTCTTAACAAGTACGCAGCTAATATGAAAATTACTCACAAAAACGTTGTGTGTGATCAACCTCAAGCAGTTGTCCTCTGGGTACTGAGGTCACGCACTCAGGTCATTAAGACCACTTCTAGTCCAATTTTCTGTTCAGTGTATAACTCATCACAATCAATACAACCTAATCTGTAGACATAATTTTGTGCGAAAATGAAACTTAGGTTCAGTGTTTCCTATCGACTATCTTCAATCACCATCACATTTTAACATAGTGCATATAATGTCGAGTCACCTAGATTGATGGCCAAACTGCAACTCGGTTGGTATGATTCAGCTGGTTAATTTCTTTGAACTAGGTTAACTCAATCTGATATAAATTTGTACCAGGTCTTTATTTGTTTCAAAATTATTTGTTAGTCAATAACTCCATCAACAGTACGAGTGACTTGTCATAAACAACATTGAATGATGATCATTGTACACAACAGGTCGGCAAAACTTGGAAAACTCACTTTAAATTACTGTCTGTGAGATCGGTGTATTACAGTATTTTTAAAAGTACCCGATGTTATATTGTCTCATCTACGGAATTAACTGCACTAACTTCTAATGATATTGCTTTTAATAAAATGGACTCCTTCACTTCTCATATGGATGGATTAACAGTATAGTGAAATAATATATTATCAGTGATAACAGTGTATACAGCTAATCTTGGACATGAATTCTATTGAAGGAATGTCGATATTCTGGATAAAAATACTATAAGAATATCAGATAATGTTTAGGAACATGTCACCTGAATCACTTAGTTATCAACAGGTACATAGACTTAGGCTCAATCCGTGGACTCATAGGTAAGAGGTTAATGAATGTCAGGGTCAGAGATCGACCAACAGAGACAAACAACGTGAATGTAAGGACAAACGAAGTGCTAACACGACCCTGTATGTAGAGATCGAACCCAAGACCTTCTGCTTTGCGAGAAAACGCTTGAACGCTAGACCATTGAGGGTGTGTGGTTTAAATGAAGGGCGATACTGAATTCAACTGATTCACAGTAATGTGCAACCGTTTTCCAGTGTTTACGGTTAATAACTGTCTTCCATAAGATGTGTTTATACTTTACTGGTCACAGCTTCTCATTAGAACTCACGAAATTTCCTCTTTAAGCTAGTCACTAGTTAGCACATGATAATTATCAATGTGAGATTTTGGAAAATTTAGAAGTTAAACTTGTACACTATTGAATTCTGGCTTGATGATCTGTAGATTAAATGTTCGCACTTAAGACCGAATGCCCTGTGTTTGAGTCTTTTTACAAGGTCGTGGATGGTCACTGAGAATTTCCGTTCTAAACGAAGAAGCCTCTAGAATAAGTTTGTTCATAATGACAACACGGGCTGTACAATTAAATCATCTACTTCAGAGGACGTTTCATTACCTAAAACATTCACCTGAATTGTAAATGTGTTCCATGATTTCAAAATCTAAAGTACACTAATCGATCGATTAACCTCTTTCCTAAAAAACGACATTCTTTTTTCATGTTTTAACAATACTACTTAAAATGGTTGATATCATGAATTAATTGAAGTTAGATCACCATGGAAAACCTGAAAACACTAGATGGACGTTTCATCCCATTGTGGGACTCCTTAGCAGTGCATATCCACGACCCGCTTCGCGTGATTCGAACTTAGAACCTAACAGTCTTGCAATTGAATGTTTAACCTCTAGTTTCTTTAATGATTTTCATTATAATTATAAATTGATAAAATAATAATAATGATAAGAAGAAGAAGAACAATGATACTTACATTTTTTGCTTATCATTCATTGCAAACCGATAAGATAAATTTAAAACATAATAAGCTGAGATATAGATTAATAAGTCGACCCATACCAATTTATACAAACTTCCTTTCCATCTGAAATGATTAATTAATGTGAAAAGTATTATTTAGTATATAAAATATGAACAAATTGTTTATTTGAACTTAAGGGTTAATAAGACCACAGGATTCAACCATTTATTTATAGACATTATAAGTAAATTAATTATATTCTCACTAACTGGATGACAGTTGACAGTGTTGTATTATCTAGTTTATAAAGATAATCGGCTAGGATTTTACTTAGATCAACAGTCCTATCAACTTGAATATATGTTACTCTGAACCTAATGTTATCCGACTGAAAGATACTTATCTGATTGCCCCCAAATTCCCTGGTATGGCCGAGAGTGAGGAGAGTCCGCTCTCCTTCTCGATATGCTCTCACATGACCACGCGTATACAGTCTCTACCAGGTAAGTCCTAATCATTGCCTTCTCGTAGCAGGGGTGTTGTTTACGAAAATGAGAGGACAAAAAGCGAATGTACGGGGCTTTAACCAGGTTTCCAAATCAATGGTGCACAGGGGCTCCAGTATCCTGAGCATTTTAATAGTTTAGTCAAATTTATTATTTATTTATTTTAACACATAAACATTGGTACAACGAGGCACCAACTATATATGCTCCACATAAATTATTCGATTTGTGTGAGGGCTGGGATACTGTCCGGGTGTCGAAACTGATGCGGGTGATTTTCTTGGGGGATCACACTCAGAGCTTTCGACCTAAAGGTCTGTATCACAAGACAGTGAAGCAATTGTAGTCAGTCACTAATAATTGGTTAATACGCCATTCTTTCCTTCAGGATACTGGAGCACATGTGCACCATTGGTTTGGAATCAGTGTATCCCAACTCCTTCATAGTGAACATGGAGAGTTCACTAACCTGGTGAAAGCACCGAACATTCTCTTTTCATCCTCTCAATTTCGTAAACAACATTAATGCCACGAGAAGGCAGTGAGTTGGACTTCCCTCGCTATAGTTGTATGCACGTGTCCATGTGAGAAGATTTGGAGAACGAAAGCTGACTCTCTTCACCCTCGGCCGTACCAGGACATTTTAGGGCACTACTAAAGAGTACTTTAAATCAATACACTTGAAAATTTATCAGTTATTGAGATAAATGATCTACATATGCGCGAGTAATTCATTTATGTTGTCATGTAAATAAACTGCCTACACTAATAAATAAGTATACTCATACATAATAACAGTGTGTGTGTGTGTATGAAATTGAATTTAATGGTAGAATCGATGAAATAAATACGAATAACTTTGAATCGATTAACTTTAATGTTACAAAGATGAACTAACTCTCGAAATGCTCTCACATGACCACGCGTATATAGCCTGTGCCAGGAAAGTCCAACTCATTGCTTTCTCGTGGCGGGGGTGTTGTTTACGAAATTAAGAGGACGAGAACCGAACGTCTGGCGTTTTAACTAGGTTAGTGGATATAGAGAGTCCACCTAGGGGAGTTGGAAAACCCTGATTCCAAAACAATGGTTTACATGAGTTCCAGGATCCTAAGGAAACAAATAGCGTATGAACCAATCGTTGATCACCGGTTACCATGGGACTGCACCTTCTTACGATGCTCCTTTGTCTTGTGAATCAGAGCTTTAGGTCGAAGACTCCGAATGTGGCTACCTAAGAAAACCACGTGCTCCGGTTTGGGCACCCAGGCAGTATCACAGCCCTCATGCAAATTAGATGAGGTTTGTGTGACGCATATCTATATGGTGTTTCGTTGTGCCAATATCTGTGTTAAAATAAATTAATAAAATAATAGTGAGCAAACAGCTCAGCCTTCAAGTTATCCAGTGGCCAATTCAAGAGTAAACATGAAGCGTGTGTATTATAGCTGAAAACATAAATTCTTATTCACCAATTCGATTCCGGTGAAAACCTTCAAAGTTTTATGGAACTACAAATATACCAGAAAGGTAAACAAGATATGATTGAAAATGTGAGTACAGGAAAATATTCATCCATTAAATGTATGTAGTAAATGAACTCAAACTATTAGGTATTACTTTATTCATTTTGTTGATGTAATTATTAACCGGTATGTGAAAACACAGTCTCCAGCAAGTCTTACTAAAGTATCAGAATGGGTTTTGTGGAGAGTTTAAGAAATTTCACAAGTTGAAATCATGAGTCAGTTGAAGCTAGACCACCATTGAAATCCTGGATGCACTGGTCTAATAGTTAAGTGCTCGCACCCGAAGACAGTAGGTCCTGGGTTCGAGCCTCGCGTGGTGCGGGATCATGGATGCGCACTGCTGAGGAGTCCCGTACCAGGACGAGACGGCCGTCCAGGGCTTCCAGATTTTCAATGGTGGTCTAGCTTCAACTGACTCATGATTTCAACTTGTGAAATTTCTTACTAAAGTACTTTAGATTTAAAAAGTGTACAGTTCATCCTGTACCTATGAACATTGATTTTCAAGTGATTAATTGTAGATTGGATGGCTTGAGTAACATTGCATAATGTCATCCTCGAAACGTTCTTTGCCAGGCAAGAGATCCACATTATCATCACGAACTTCAATCACGGCTATTTCTAGAAGGATTTCTGATATCTAGTGACAATACACTGTTACTAATACGAGGATTCATTAACACACAGTGATGATAATTCAACTGATGTCATCATCTTGAAACACCGAGTTCGGTGGCTTAAATTAATACTACGAATATCATTGCAGCAAATTCTACATTGTGTATTATTTGTTAAGGCTGAGGACTAGTTAAAAAAGAGCAATAGCCAGTTTATCATACAGTGCTGGGTTATGAGATAAAGTTATGCAGGACTGATATCTCTCAATCCTTCACGACTCTCTGGTTGACGTCCTAGAGATAGTGCAACTCACTGTCTTGAGACGTTACCAAAATTTGCTCAGAATAGAAGCTAATGGTGATTCTTCAATAATTTTCTTTTCCTTTCTTTATATAAGTGAGAGGAACTTATTTAAATGGAAAAAAACCTTTCTGGTTGTATTTTTCTTAAGTGAATAAATTCTTCCATTACTATTTATACATTCATTCACTTATTTTCGTTTTTCTTTTATTGAAATCATGAATGAATTGATGTTATACCACCATTAAAAACTTGGAAGCACTGAACGACCGTTCAGTCCTATCATGAGACGACTCAGCAGTGGGCATCCAGGATCCCATACACGGTTTTCGAACTCAGGACTTTCGATCTCGCATGAGAACACTTAATATCTAGACCATTGAGTTGGCTGGCATCTACCAGTGTTAGTGTCTAACATCAACTAATCCACGAAATTACACGGTAGAGTCCTATTTCCACCTGATATGGATAGTTTTTGATTATACATATCTTCCTTACCCTATCCTTTCAAAGTCAAAATTTCTTATCATACGATGCATATTCATTATGATTACCATTTTTACCATTATATATTTTCATCGTTGAAATCATGAGTCAATCTCAGTTAGAATACCATTCCAGTATGGGACTCTTCAGCACTGAGCACTCATGATCTTTCACTTGGGGTTTGTTTAAATAAATAAATAAATAAAACCATGAATACATTGAACAATGATTAATTCCTTTAACACTTCTTGTAAGGGGAACTATTAAGTAATATTTTCAAGTTATATTTACTTTTTAAGCAATGATGGATAGTGGCTAGCAGTGGAATCCAGAACGCACGTTCGGGACTCGTCAGATGGATGTACATGCATTTGAGTTGATGTTCACTCTGGGACTCGAACCCAGTACCATTCGTTTCAAACGTCATCGCGTTATACACTCATCTACTGAGTCCTGATAGTAGGATGAGACGCGCGTTTAACTGGATTCCATTGCTAGCCATTATCCATCATTGCTTACAAATAGCTTGTGAATTAAGGTAATATCGAGGCATACGCACAGTATGCACATATGTCAATAACACACTGATCAATTACAGTGTTAAACCTCAATGGGAAGATACAAACCAAACAATACCAAGTGAATTATACTTACTTTTTAAGAATTTTTAGTAAAACGGAAGCCCCTCTCCCGTCAGACAATTCATCTGCATAAGCAGTTGGCATTGTATGAATGTGTGTGTGTGTGTGGGTAGTTGGTTTGTTTATTGGGTGGCTGGTTGGTTGGGTTGGTGGTTGGTTGGTTGGTTACTATACAATCTGTTATGAAATTGTTGTTAAGACTTAATAAACTATTAAATTCCTATCTAACATTTCTATTTGGTCATTATTACTGACAATCATGTAACTAAGTGATTTCATTAAAACTACAATTTATATATTCAACTGTTTATAACCTTTGTATTTATGAATATGTGTATGTGTTTGTTTGTTTGTTTATAGGTTCCTACTTATTCAAGAGTGTTGTATCTTATTTGTGTATGAGTATTTATGTATGTTTAATGAATTGAACGAAATTTGACTTATTCATTGTTTTTAGGATGGATACAAAAGGTGTGTTTAATGAAGAAAGAAATGGAGAAGTCTAATGATTGAGGGATATCGTTTCACTGAATTCAAAATTTATAGAGTACTAATATTGTCTCCAAATACTCTAGTACGGCAGAGAATGGAGAAAGTTAGCTTTAACCTCTTCAAATGCTCTCATATGGTCACGCGTCTATAGTGTAGTGGCTTGTGGATCTGACTCCAAGAAGACTATAATTATTGATTATTATTGGAATATATATGTTACCTATCTTCGCATATAATCATCGACTTAGATCGCGTTAGTCAGTAAAGGAATTAAATTAGTCAAATAACGAGAATGGACTTATGAACTCATATATTTCATATATAAAGCGAATGGAATAGAGAGAAGAGGAACGACGCAGAGTGGAGATGTCTGGTAAGTCAACTCCCATTTAACCAAGAGTTAATCAATATTTATAGTTACACAAAAGTAAGTTACAGATACATGATGAACAATGGGATAAGAAATGTACACACACCTACGCGCTCATATAAAAACAGTCAAGATTGATAAGCGGATAAATAACAAGGTCAGAATGTGACTCAAGTAGAAT